TCTCTCTCTCTCTCTCTATGTGTATATACAGAGAATGAAGGAGAGAGAGAGGGAGAGAGAGTACCAGAAGCAAAAAGAAGAAAAAAACACAAGAATAACACTATGAAAAATATAAGGGGAAATTAAAAGGGGGATGAGGAAAAGAAATAAAAGGGGAAACAAGAACTCCATGCATAGTGAAATCTCTCTTTTCTTTTTTTTTCTCTTATCCTCTCTCTCTCTCTCTCTCTCTATGTGTGTATATGTATGTACGCATGTATATGAACGTTGAATAATCTTTATTTGTTTATTTATTTTAGTCATCCTTTCTTTTTTTTTCTTTATCCGTACGATCTTCTATTTTCAGTGACATTGCGTCTTATTAAAGGGTAATAGTGAATCCCTTGTGATGAACTATATATATATATATATGTATTGTTCCTTTTTCTTCATGTCTATATTTATGTGTATGTAGATATATGCAATAGACTCCATAAGCAGAAGGAACGAGAGAGTGTGTTTGTGTGAAAATTCTGAAGATGATGTACGTTAAAAAAAAAAAAGATTTGTTTACAGTTGTATTGTATTCGTTTTGTTCCTTTTTTTTTTTCTTTTTTCTTGGTTATATATATGATTATGTGATTATTAGTCTGTTGACACTACCATTGTTATTGGTTATATTTTCCTCACTTTCAACCCCATCAAGCAAATCCTCATTTGGATGAATTTCCATTGAGATTTTTTTTTTTTCTTCCTGCTCCTCGTTTTCCTCTCTTTCTGATGATTCCTCTTATTTTTTCTGTATTTCTTCCAGTGTATGTAAGCATTTATATATAAATATAGTATGTAAGCATTTATATATAAATATATATATTTATATATATATTTATATATTTTTAGTGTATTCACAATACAACTTAAATAACCTTACGGTTATAGTTGTAATGTGTTTACCTCCTCATTTATTCCTTTTCCTTTGTTATTTATTTATTTATTTATTTTGGTTTGATATATATATATATATATATATTTTTATCTCTCCTACTCTTACTCTTATTATTTTCACTGTACTGTTTTTCTATTAGACTATATTGTTGTCTATTCCCATGGATATTATGTAATGTTGATGATCTCTACCTTTCTCTCTTTCTCTCTCTTTATCTTTATCTATCTCTCAAATGATTGAAAACCACGAAATAGCAATCATATACAAACCATACCCAACCTACAGTCATAGAGTTTATTGGTGTGAGAGGGTAAGGTAGATCGTTTCAAAAAAAAAAAAAAAAAAAAGAGAGATAAAGAAAGGGAATTGAAAAAAAAA